AGGGAAGATCATGCTGGGCCGTTGTCCCTGGACCCTGGCCTCCCTTTCCACCCCCTGTGTGCAGCCGGGCCTTAGAAGTTTGGGTTAAGCTTCACGGGACAGAGGGAGGCATGAAAACAGAGTCGAGAGGGACCGCTTGATGACCTTCTTCAGCTTCTTAGGGTTGGTACAGTCTAGGGGTCTTGATCCAGTTCATTTAGAGCAGCCCTCGGATTGTGGGGTTGAGAATCGGGGTTCCCCAGACTCCAAAGTGGGCACTGCACAGTGTAGCCATTGCATCTGAGGCAGAGGATGAGATCTGGAGTGCCCCCCGTGTTGGGAAGGGGAAACCCCAGGACCTTGTTCTATGAGTGTGAACCCTCCTTCCTGATGTCCGGTAGAAGAGTTCAAGCCGTAGCACCTCTGCGGGCCTCTGGATTGTCCGTGAAGAAGCCAGGAGGCCTGTGTCTCCTCTCTCTTCAACCGGACCTGCCACTGTGGAGCCTCGGAAGGCAAAACCCCGTATGCAGGACCTAGGTGCTCAGAAGATGCCTGGGTTGGGTGTGGACACTTGGCTTCTGGGGCCCTTCCTCAGTGACTCCTTTCCCTGCCCCCGCCTCAGGCCTGGACACCCAGTCTCTGCCTGAGCTCTGCAGTGTCCGGTCTCTGTTGCACACACCCCAGGAGAAGCCCGTGTGGGTCACAAGCTCGCCTTTGTCAACTCAAGCCTCACGTGGGACCGTGCCAGGAGGGGCTGGTGGGTGTTTTGCCTGCAGCTGGAGCGAGCCGGCCTCGGCCTCGGCCCCCCAAACCCTCTCAGATACGGAGCTGGCATGTCCACAACTGCCTGCACTGTGGTGAAGGCAGTTCCCTGAGAGACAGCTGCTCGGGAAGACATTCGTCCACTTCTTCACTTAGACGTCCGTGTCAGGCCCAGGGCCAGGACTTGTGCTGAGATGGGACCCTTGTCTTCTGTGGGGAAGAAAATGGGAAAGAAATTCCTTACCTCAGAATCACTCAGGGGACCCACCCCCTAAAATTCTGACTCAGTAGGTCTGGATGGGAATATGGGTTTTTTTGTTTTTTTTTTTTTTAAATCAGGTTTCCACTTTTTGGGGGTGCAGAGTGTTGGGGTAGAACCATATCCCCAGCATGTTAGGCAAACACTACCAGTGAGCCATAGCGCTGTCCCTGGGGACCACTGTCATTCAGAACCAGGTAGAGAAATTATGATTGAGATTTTCTGTGTTTTTCAAAACTTGGTTTGACCGTGTACCACTTTCACAAAAGCCGGTTAGTTACTAGAAAGCTAAGCACGGAGGGATATAGCAACCTCATGCCTCTGTCAACGTACCCCAGCGGCGTGAGTCTGAGCATGCCCTCTTCTCCCCTTGACTCATGCTGACCTGGAGAGTCACTCAGACCCCACGTCCTCCCAGTCGCTGTGTTCTGTCAGAGCAACTAGGGGGCTGTGTGAGCGGCTCACAGACGGCAAGGCTGGGTTTGAACATGGGTCCCTGCAGCCTGGGCCATGTGGATGTCTGTCTGCCTGCATCTCCTGCCCCTCACTTCCTGCTCCCTTCTGTGCCGGCTGAACGCCTCACTTCCTCATTTTTCTCACTAGTGTGCTCACTGGCCCTCTCACTTCCTCCCTTCCCACTTCCTGTCTGCCAAGTACTTGGCATGGTGTCGCGGGTGACTCTACTTTGGGATGGGGTGTCCACGGAGGTGTCTGCCCCTCTGCAGCCAAAGGCAGGGTCACCCACTTTGGAGTGATGGTGAACACGCCCCAAGACACAGTCTGGTGTGGCGAGTAGTGATAACACCGTTAGCTGTCAGTGGAGGGAGACAGCATGTGGGGGTGGGAACCCCCAATTTGCCACTTCTGTCTGCCTTTTCTGTGTTCTGAGAAATAGTTCCAGAAGCCAGGCAGTTGGATGTGAGGACCCCTGGGGTGTGGGGAGGCCCGGATAACATGGCTTCTCGCTTATCCATCAACCCAGCTGGCCACATCCCTTTCCCACAGGGAGCCACTGCAGCCAGGCCACAGTCTGGACCCATTGCGGTCTAGACCCACAGCCGGGCTTGTCCTGCTGGCAAGCAGGTGTGAGGAGAGGCCCCATGATTCCTTTTCTACACTATGGAGGCCCCTGGGGTGAGCAAAGGGTGTAGAGTGGGGACTCCCCTTTATTCCTATCATCTTTTGGGGACTCCAGCCTTCCAGATCTGGTTCCCTTTCCAGAGTGGACTTTCTGTTCCTGGTTCCCTCCCCGCCTCCATCAGTACCAACCCTGAGTGCTTATCCTGGCGAGTGCCTCTGTCAAGGCTTCATCCCTGATGACTCAGTTTCCCTTCTCTGTGTGCAATCTTGTTTAAGCTAACAGATATTATTCATGTTGGTGACTCAGTTTCCATATTTGATAGGAGACATAATTATGTGTTTCTTCTGCGAGGTGTCCCTCTGTGTAGTGTTTGTAGTCCCTTGCTGTCTTTCACAGCAGGAAGTCCCTCCCTCTTATTCTTTCTTCCTTAACTGGGCATGCTTTTCTTCATTCAGCTAATACTCATTGGGAGTCTGCAGGAGGCTAAGCAGGTGCTAGATGTCAGGCCAGGCAGGAGGGACGACCTTCCAGGCTCCCATGGTTACTGGGAGACCAACTCTTACACAGAATTTCAGACGAGCTGAAGGAAGTGAGGAGCTGATGGGAGCTGGTGGCCGAGGGGCAGTAGGTGGCCTTTCTGAATGAGGTCACCTGTAATACCCTCCGCTTAAACCTCAAACCAGCCGGGCAGTGGTGGCGCACACCTTTAATCCCAGCACTCAGGAGGCAGAGGCAGCCAGATCTCTGTGCGTTTGAGGCCAGCCTGGTCTGCAGAACAAGTTCCAGGACAGCCAGGGATACACACAGAGAAATCCTGTCTCAAAAAACCAAACAAACGAACAAACAAAACCCTCAAACCAGACCTTCCGGGCCCTGTGCTGACCCCTCTACTCCCCCAGCTTTGGTTTTTTTCTTTTTTGCTTTGTTTTGTTTGGGTTTTAGATTATCTCATATAGCTGAGGCTGGCTTTGAACTCATGATCTTCCCAACTCCATATCCCCCCATACCTGACTCTTGCCCTGTCTTTTAAGCAAAAGTAAACAAACAAAAATTTTTGTGAGACAAGAGTCTCACTCTGTAGCCTTGGCTAGGCTACAACTTCCCATATAGACCAGGCTGGCCTGGAACTAACAGAGATCCTGCCTCTCTGCCTCTGCCTTCTCTCAAGTGTTGGAATTAAATGTTTGTGTCATTATTAAAGAAAAACAATTTTTAAATTAAGGTTTTTGTATATATGTGTCCCACAGAACCAATGAGGAGGTCAGAGGACAGCTTACAGAGGTTGGTTCTCTCCTCTCCTCCACCATGTGGGTCCCAGGAACCAAACTCAGGCCACCAGGCTTGCTGGCCAGCACCTTTACCCATCTTACCAGTCCCTTGATGGTTTTTTTTTTTTTCTGAAATGGGGTCTCACTATGTAGCCATGGCTGTCCTGGAACTCACTCTGTAGACCAGGCTGGCCTTGAACTCACAGAGATCCACCTGCCTCTGCCTCCCAAGTGCTGGGATTAAAGGCGTGCGCCATCACTGTCGACCTCTTGGTGTGTCTGGATGCACTGAGTTCTTTCCTACCTCTGAGCCTTTGCACACACTGCTCCCTCTCCCTGGAACTCTTGTGGATATCACTTCTTGCCTTGGCTTAAATGTCCCTTCTTTAGAGATGGCCCCCTTGACCTTGTCCTCTAACATAGCACCTCCCCCTTGCCCCCCTATACTTCTCAGATTGCCATATTGTTATTTTTTTTAAAGATTTATTTATTTATTATGTACACAGAAGAGGGCGCCAGATCTCATTATGGATGGTTGTGAGCCACCATGTGGGTGCTGGGAATTGAACTCAGGACCTCTGGAAGAGCAGTCGGTGCTCTTAACCTCTGAGCCATCTCTCCAGCCCCGCCATGTTGTTATTTTGTTCTTTTTCCCTCCATGAGTTAGTAGTATCTGAGTTTAGTTTTTGTTTACGGTGTTTTCCTAATAAGGCTTGGGGAGGAAGACAGAGACCATGCTGCTCGCTAATGTGCTGCCCTGGTTTTGTGTGCAGCGTAGCGTCAGTTAGGCAGCTGGCACTCAGGAATGTTTGTTGAGTACATCCTGATGTGTTTCCCATCACTTCTGTAACAAATTGCCTCTGTTGCTTTGACAAAATACCCGAGGTAGCCAACTTACAAGGAGGAACGTGGTGGGTTGTTCTTTGCCTCACCCTTTGGAGGCTTCACTTCATTTTGTGCCTGCTGTGACATAGAGCATCGTGCCTGGGGAGTGTGGCACAGGAGGCTGCCTACCTCGTGGTATCCAGGAAGCAAGGAAGGAGGGGACCGGGTACCAATTCCCCTTCAAAGGCACCTTCCAATGACCTGGCGCCCTCAGCTCCTGAAGAAGGGCACACCACTTCCCAGCAGGACCACAAGGAGGACTTAGCTGGTAGCAGGTGACTTTGCCGGGACGGTTAAGATCCAGATCTTCAGAGGGGTGTAGCATCTGCAGTCTGAAACGCAAGTCCCAGCAGGCTGCACGTCTGCTGAGTGTTCTAGGGTGTTCTCCGTGGCCTTTTGCCCCTTGTGGAGGCTGCCTGCGTTTCTTGGCTGGTGGCCCTTTCTCCACCTGCAGAGCCTGTCTGCCTTCCCTTTCCTAATGTCTCACATTGCTCGCTCCCATGAGCCTCCCTGTCAGGGCCCATCCAGATAGTCCAGGATAACGCTTCTGTCTGGAGACCCTTATCTTAGTCACATCTGCAAAGCCCCCTTTGCCACAGAAGGCATAGATTTACAGTGCCTGGGAGTTCAGCTGTGGTTGGTTATCTGGGTGTTATCTGGCCTATAACCCTAGGCCCCCAGGGCTGCTTGCCAGATGTGGCCAGCATTCAGGCACCCTGGCCACTGCCATGGCATCTGGGGATCTGACCATTCCTCCGTCCTGCAGGACGAGATTGAGGAGCTGCGGGCTGAGATGCTGGAGATGCGGGATGTCTACATGGAGGAAGATGTGTACCAGCTACAGGAGCTCCGGCAGCAGCTGGACCAAGCCAGCAAGACCTGTCGCATCCTGCAGTACCGACTGCGTAAAGCCGAGCGCCGCAGCCTCCGCGCGGCCCAGACAGGCCAGGTGGATGGTGAGCTCATCCGTGGTCTGGAGCAGGATGTCAAGGTCAGTCTGGGCGTCTCCACCAACCTCTTTTATAGGTGCCCGTGATGGGTGGTTGGGTCATGGGCCCCATTGGGGATCCAGGTTATCCCTGTAGCTTACTGCTTGCCTTGAGCGAGTTATCCTGCCTCTCTGGGTCTCAGTTTCTCCATCTGCAAAGTTGGGACCCCTGGTGGATCAACAGGTCCTCTAAATGGGATATCCCAAAATGATAAGACCAATCACCACCACCCACACACACAGCAGCAGCAGCAGGAGGCTCTTTCTTGCCTGTACCTGGCCTCTGAGTGGCCTCCTACACAGTCCCTGCTCAGTTCTACAGGCTACTGAGAGACAAAGGAGTCAGCTAGGCTGGACTGGCTCAGAGATGGGCTCCAGTATGCCTGGGTTTTGTGATTTTGAGCAAGTCTCCTATATTTCAATTTCCCCATCTGCAAAATGCATGTAAGAATATCCAATCCGGGATAATGAAATCGTGGCTAAGACACCAGAGGGACCAACCGTGATTAGTCTTTATTATTGCATCTGATTTCTGGATGAGGGTTCTGGGGCTCGGAGGGGGGTTGTACCTCTCCAGGGTCAGGGGCTCTCTCTGTGGGTGGCAGAAGTCAGGCTCACCCACCCCCTAGACCTCACTGCTGGACCCTGCTACTCCCCTGCCTCAGGAGCAAGCAGGGATGGCCCTACTCAGACAGGCGAGGGCTCCAGAAGAGAAGTCTCCACTGCCTGTCTTATGTAAGCCCTGGTGAGGGTCCAGACCGTGGGTCCCTGAGCCAGCCCTCTGCTCTCAGAACACAGCCCAGTGTGAGCAGGGGATCGCAGGAGCTGGGGCTGGTACAGAACAGAGAGGAGCCTAGGAGTCCCATAGGTAACCTCTGCCCTGGGGCCAAGAGAGGAGAGGCCTGAGCTGCCGGTAACCAGGGATGTTCTAGGGAAGACTCCCAAGGGCCCCGAGGGCAGACAGGTGCAGAGCCATCCACACAGGCCTGCTGCTGCTGCTGCTGCTGCTGCTGCTGGAAGGCACTGACTCAGTCCAGCCCTGCAAGGCACTCTCAAAGGACGCTGTTCATCCCAGAACCAGTGTTGATTTAGGAAAGTCGCGGCTCAATGCGAGCCTGTGTACCTGCGTGGAGCCAATTTTCTTGACTGCACACACAGCAAGATCCTGTTTTTGTTTTTGTTTGTAACAAAACAAAACACGATTTGAAGGAGGAAAAAAACCCAACCCTCCATTTCCCTCATTGGTTAGAGACAGCAGACACGGAAGGAGAGTGGAGAAGTTCAGACACATCTGCCACTGGGCCCTGGTCCTTGAGGATTTCTGGGAGGGACCCGAGACAAGTCTACTAGGAGATGAGGGAGTGGGGAACGGGCTGGTGGGCGGGGCCAGAGCAGCGGGGGTCGGGGTGGGGCTCAGCCCTCCAGGAGGAGGGGAAGGGCCCCTTCTATTGGGATTTGAACCAGCCAATCAGCATCGCCGTGCTTCCCCTGCCCCCCTCCTCCCGCCCCTCCCCTGCAGCTGCAGCTCTGAGCTCATGCTCTG